CTCGTACAAAATGGCTCGAAAATGTTCGTCTCTTGGGATTCGGTTTGACTTGTCTCGTTCAACCTCGGAATAAACCTGAAAATATACCAAAAGCATGGGAAAGTATGCCAAAATATAAAATAAAACGAAAAATATAAAATCACACAAAATGCGACCAAATGGACCGGTCAACGCCAAAACGAACCTAAAATCGACTCGAGCACACAAAGAAACACATAAAAATAAGCACAAAAACATAACAAACAACTCCCCCACACTTAGCTTTTTGCTTGTCCTCAAGCAAAAAAAAATAACAAATAGCTCGAAGAGATAAATCGAACGGTCCAAGATTAACGAACATGCGAAATGAAACTCTCATTATCATCCGGTTATCCCAAAATCAAAATCCAATCCGAGACACGGTCCCCACATAGTGAATCAAACGAAACAAAAACTCGTCCCAAGTCATTTCACGAATGATCACTCGAGTCAAACTCCCTCATCACTTATACGTGCAAAAACCATAAATGATCTACTACACATGAAATGATAAGCACGAGATCAATAAGCCAACTCCCCAATTTTCTTTTCTTTCTTTTTCTTCTTCTTTTTTTTATATATACTAGTTATCATCCTGTGCACATGCACAGATGTACATAAAATATTATAAGTAATATGTGTGAATTTAATATTAAAATTATAGATGATAAACATATCAAATTTCAAAGATATGTGAATTTAATATTAAAATTCTAGATAATGGACATACCACATTTTCAAGATTTAATCATTAGTAAAAATAAAATAATATTTATATAAATTATTAGATTACATATGAATCACTATATTGATTAAAAAAAATTGTGGGTAATGTAATTTTTATAATTTGGAGGGATCATGGTCAAATAATTTACTTGAAAACTTTATTATTATTATTATTATTATTATTATAATTGTTATTATTACTATTCTTATTACAACGACAATTGTTTATAAGAATTTATAGGTTTTTTACTATACTATTAAAACTATTTACTAATTGTTTCTAAAGAAAATTGTTTCATGAAATATAAAATTAAAATAATATTAATAATAATATCATTCATAAAACCTAATTAAGTGTAATCATGTATTTATAAAACA